ACACATATCCTAAAGTGGCTGTGCAGACTGCATGACTCGTGTCCCATACTTAACACAGCATTTAGCCAATTTTCTAGTGGAAAGAACTGCATTGCAATGAAATATAATGAGAAACTTTCAATGAAGGATCCAACCTTGCAAGTATTACCAGAGGTACTAAATTCACTGAATCTTTGCCATCCAGTATTTCTATGGCTATAGTGATCTTGATCTATACAAAAAGCAACCCAGGCGATAATTATAATAAACACCAACAGAGAGATACATACATATGTATGTGTACAATTTACTATGTGGTAGGCATTCTTCTCAGCACTTCTATAGACAGCACTTTATACATGACTGTGTAGAATGTGCCACACAGGAACACCCAGCAAGGAGGTAACTGGTTCTGAACTCTAATGTGCTATGTGTTTGCCAGGCTTAACAACCTGACCCAGGATGGTCAATCACACATGAAAGGAATACCCAAGTGCTAAATTGTACAAGGACAACTCATGGTCGAGCAGAAGTACCATTAAAACATATTGGCCAGTTTAGCAGCAAGTATGGTGGCGCTTGACTATAATCCCAGCATTCTCGAGGCTTAGGCAGGAACAGGCTCACAAATTCAAGGTCAGCTTCAGCTACACTAGGAAGAGCTTTTGTGAAGAACGTTTTAAGTGCATGAGAAGGAAAAAACAAGAAAGGGTCACTTTTGAGGGAGCCCTGAAGCAGAATAGTTGATGTTCACAAAACTAGCAGTGAAGATTGCTAAACTAAGCTATGCCTTGGGAGTACAAAATCAATCAGTAGAAACAGACAGCTCACACCTACCTACTGTGCTGTCTGCTTCCCTCTTCAACAATCCAAATGTTCTTGGTGTGTAGATAAAGCAAAGGAGCAGATGCGACCCCAGGATAACCAAATGTTTGGTTTTTGCATTGCCTAAAAACAACAGAAATCATCTATGCAGCCTGTGCTTAAGTGATAGGTTCAAAACAATTCTAGCTCACAGTTGTCATTTCCTTACAGGTGGCACCTCCCAAATGCAGGCTTCCAAAAATGACTCACAGGTATAAAGAGCCATTCATTTCCTGCACCTTGGGCAAGCATCCATAATCTTTGTCAGCTCGGGGCTCTTGCCCAAACTAAATCACTGTGTTCTGCAGCAAGCTGTATGTCTGTCATTCTGGCTGAGGCTCAGCTTCAGTCTGGGGAAGAGGAAGGATAGGCTGAGAGGTGCCAAGCCCTTCCCTAGCTGGAGGTTAAAACCTCTTCCGTTTCTAGAAAAGCATTCCTTTGTACAAACAGGATCTGCACAACACTTTGATATGCCAGAACCCTAAAAGCAATCCAGAGAATTCTGCTTAATTGGGGGAAATAATAATCATAAATCATCTGTGGCCTTCACAATCAGAGTTAGTCACTCTCATGTTGTTCCTCAGCCACAGACTGGCCTAGACCTTCATAGAAAAACAACAACAATCGTATTACCTTGTTTTCAAATCGAAACATGGGGAAATCTAAACTGGATGTCTCTAATGTTTCTGAGTTCAGAAAGGTTCTGCTAAATAAGAAGAGAAACCCCTTTGTAAGATTTGGGGTCTCAGGGTGCTGACTTCTCTTACCTTAGCAGATGTTTCAGTGCAGAGTAAAAGTGCTTAGCTTCTCAAAACAAATTAAATCTCACTAAAAATCTGAAAATGCTCTCTTGTTTATTTGCAAACAATATGGCTATATTGAGGGTAGTAATGCCTGTTACCTACACTGTCAGTGTTTCTTTTACCAAACAACAAATTATATCTAGGAAATAAAGACACCTTTAAGTTGTTCAACAAATATTCTCAAGCCTGACTAACTTCATTAAAATCAGAACATACAAGGGCTTGTCACAACTCGTAGCTGGATGTGGTAGCTCATGAAGGATTACTGCAAGGATGTGACCAGCCTGGGCTACATAGGTGAGGCTCTAACCTAAACAAAACTTCTCACACAGAAAATACCCTCTAATGCTACATTGTAGAATATAACAAGACATTTTAAAGGTACATTTTAATGTAGCTCCAAAAAGAAACAGAAGCAGAGACAAAGGAAAGGCAGGATACGGAGGAGCTTCAACTGGCTATATAAAATGCCTTGAAAGGCAATTTATATTACTTTAATCCAACAAGTATCCATTTAGAAGAAAAAGCTATTTAAAATACATTGAGAGATTAAGTGAAAAAAATTCTACCAAAAACAGATGGACAGACACACACGCACACACACAGAAAAACATTAAATTCTACATCTGAATCACATATTTATTTTCTAAATTTAAAAATTCCATATTTGAATATTATTATGATATACCAAGTAAAAAGCCAGAGTTTTAAGTCTCTAAAGTTATGTTTTAAACCACGTTGATTCCATCAAAGAGGCCTTTTATTTCTCTCCAGGCCTTTTATAGTCCTTTGTATATGCACGTCCTTCTCTGATGAAGGAAGTTCAATTTCTTTGCTACCTTAAAGGACAGAAGGATGAGAACATATGACAGCCCAGGGTAATCCAGTGTGCAGAGGAGGCCCCTAGTGGCAGAGCCACTACGGTGAGACCTCAGCTATTACAAGTTTTATAAGACCACTTTATCATGAGGCCCAAATCAATAGGTAATAAAGTCTACCTGGGCTCAGCCTCTTTAGTACCTCTGTAAGCCTTAATATATGGTAGGGCTATAATTTACAGTCCCAAGGTCCTCTCATCGGGAATACATGAAGGAGGATGTGAGCTGAAGAATAACTTCATTACGCAGTAATGTATCAGTAAGTTTCAAACCAGTAAAGGCGTACTAAGTCCTTTCTGCTTGCCATTGAGATGTTGGGTGGCACAGGGAAAACAGGAGAGGCAACAGCCACTCACAGCTTACTGTTTCTTCTTTGGGTGTGGCATCGTCTTATTAAGCACAGAACTGGGAAACAGGGAGACTGGGAAGTCCACTTCATCATCCCGCATTCTGATGATGAATTCTCAACCAAAAGAAACCCATGAAGCCCTGCCTACTAGCATTCTCTGGAGTGCCAACTCCTTGGTTCAAATAGCCAAGCAGGGAATATTATGCAGGAAATCCGATGGCCTTCATTTGTCAATGACCTCAAGGATGGATGCTCAGATGGAGCATGAATGGATAGGCAAAAGATCACATAAAAGAAGGGATTATTGTTAAAGTTTTAAGTGTCAAAGCATATCTAAAAATAGTCAAGAAGAGAGGCGAAGGATAGCACTCGGGAAGCATCTACTATACTCTGAGCACTTAGAAAAAATGTTACTTCACTCTGGCAAATATTGTTATCAAATGAGGAGTGTTGCAACCATTTTGCACATCAGGACCCTGGTATTGGAAACAACCAGCGACTGCCCCAGGGTCACGCGGCTAAAAAGTAGAATGAGCCTCTTGGATGCCAGTTCTCTGGAACAGCAAAGCACAATCTCACGGTAATGTAAATGGGTGAATCTAAAGGTTGGGTTTTGTTCTTTGAAGCTCACTAATATGGTTTACAACTAGATACATGAGATCTGAGACAAGAAGATGGAGAGAAATAAAAGTACTATCGCTTAATCTGGAGCGGCAGCAGGTGTGTCCTAATCTGCCGAGTTCAAGCTTGACAATTACACCGAGTTAATTATTAAGAAACTAATCATACACAAAACCCTCAGTGCTTTAAGTACATTCATGCTTTTGTCTTGAGCTGCATTAATAGCTGTTCTTCACCTTCCTGAGCTCTATAGGCTGCAGCATGTTGGACACACCCATTAGGTAGCTCAATGCAGAGGAGTGATCACACATGGACTAAGTTCCTCCAATAGACATTTCCCATCTCATATTTTCCCAGAATTGGCATTTTCTGGAAGCTCAACACAGGATCCCTTTATTACAGCAATCCCTCTTGTGTGTGTTCAGGTGACCTGTTATGCTTAGAGGACCAGTTACCCCCTGCCTTATCCTTCTGATTCCAAGTTTGATAGAATCTCTCCACGCGGTAGAGCCCATAGTTTATTAATGCTGAAGATTCACAATAATTGGGGCTCTCTTGTATAAAAAGTGTCAACATAATCCAAGAAACCCGGTAGAATTGTTAGGATTTATTATAGATTTAAATTCCTTATAAATACGGAACCGTAGTTAGTTGTCTTTAATGACATTTAAGTCAAAACTATGCCAAAAACGTTGCAATCTGAACTTTAAACAATGGATTTTGCAAAATACAGCCATCCTATCAGTCATTACTATTTCATTTTTAGCGTCCACTGAGGCTCACTGTTTAGACATATACAATAGTGTTAACGTCTTTTCCTCTATAACTTCAGAATCACTGACGACAGGGGTACAGGTGCAGGAAGTGTGGCGGAAACAAACAACTTTGCCTTCGCCTCGCACAGCTTTCCTTTTCCTTCAGCCCTCGGAATGCCTCACTGCACCCCAAGACCATGCCCTGAGAGAGCTTCCCCGCACCGCCGGCACACATACTGCATGGGGTCACACGCAGATGTGAAGACCCTTGGGATCCAGAAAGTCGCCATCGCGCTGGCACAATGCAGGGCAGCGCACTGCCCATGGGCCACCCTCTTCATCACAGCAAATAGAATCCAAGAACAGCAAACTAGAGGCACCGGTACATATGCCAAGGCTACTTTGAAGTGAGGTTTCTGGAGAGTAAGCCAACCGCTGGGGGCTCAATTAGCGCTGAAGAAGCTGAGCTGACCGTAGGGTGCGGCACTGGGGACCCTCGTGTGTCCACCTAGAGATGCCACACCGTCACGCACCTCGCAAGGGCTACAGCGGGCAGTGATCCCCGAGTCCTCAGCCCTAGGGCAGCAGTGGTCGCTGGAAGCCAGCGGTGCAGGCGTCCTCCCGGCTGACAGAGAGAGCCACCCGGAGGTCGAGGTAGGGGGCAGTGGCGTGGACAGGCAAGCGACAGCGACACGCCCGAACACAGCCTGCCACGCCCGTCCAACCCTCTGGGTAAGGGACCCCGACTTACCCCAGGCAACCCTGCAGACAGCGGAGCCGGCTCGCTCGCTCGGCTACGCTGCTCCCGCTGCCGCCGCCGAACTTTCCCTCCTGCGAGGCGGCCCTGAGCTCGGCTCCACCTCCAGTTCCAACAGCCGCGGAGCCTCCAGGGACCCGGAGCAGTAGGGGGAGGGGGAAAGCGGGGAGCGCGGGCTGAACAGCGGCCAAGCACAGCGCCCGCCTCCCGGTGGGAGCCCGAGGAGCCGTGAGCCCGAGTGGTGGGGGTAGCGTGGGCCTCAGAGCTGGGGTCCTGTATGGCTACAGTCATCCACTTCCACCAGGGCTGGTCTGCAGTGCGTCCCGGCTCCAGGTCCGAGCAGAGCAGGGTGCGTTGGTTGAGAGACTATCACTGCAGGACCATGAGTGGAGAGCAGGGTCTCCTGCACCGGGGAGTCTTCAAGTGTGACTACTCACCGACATCAGAGAAGTTAGCGATAGAGACTAGGGTACTGTTGGAAGCTGTGCCCCAACGAAGAGGGGGCGTCTATCCTACAAGTTCGCCCCCGTTTCCCCACTCATCCCCGAGTCATTTGCACTGCTACGACTGTCCTAATTGCAAAGATGGCTTGCATCCAAAACTTCTTAAACTGTACTTGAGAAAATTAATAAGATAGTCACTGTTTCGGGTGCCCTGAGTTGTGGTAATAAGGCCTTCAATAAGAAGCTCTTATTTACAGAAGATCAGAAACCCCTTCAACCTTCCAGCCACAACTGTGGCTAAGCAACATCTATAAGGACCTCTGGTGGCCACCTTCCTACAGCAACTCAGCTGAGTCTCCTAGAAAATAGAAGACTCCGTGTTTACCAAATAAAACATACAGAGTAGCTTCTCTGACTACATCAAGTACTGCATGAGAGGGAGATAACAGATAGCTAACGCTGCAGAGATATGTACATACCTGTGTGGACGTAAGCCATTACTCCCAGGTTAGCTCCTAGCATCCTCAAAAGGCAATGGCATGGCAATTTCCATTTGCAGATGGAAGTCACTATGTGGAAGTCAGGGTTAGTTACAGGTTTTGCCAAGATTTTTCAATTTCACTCTTAATGAGTATCCATCCAACTTCTTCAGAGCTTTTGTTCGAACTACCACTGAAGCGTTCCTATGGCTGCATATATTGATAAGTTCTTCTAGTTTTGAGTGCTTTCACCTACTGAGGTAGCTCTCATTTCTCTACTCAATGGTGTCTCCAGAATCATGTCATAAAGCACAGGCTTTAGTTTGGAAAAATGAGCTAGAAAACTTGAGTATGGGTTGCCACGGCCCAGCACAGACATGCCCTGTGGGCCTCAGAGTCCAGGCTATGTGAAAGCTGGAGAGTATACTTTGTAGCTACAATAATCTCTATTACTCTAAATAAAAGAAAGGAGACCTTTTAAGGGTCGATTGTGGTTCCTTTACCGGTGCTTAGCATGTGGAGGTACCACAGGTTATCACTTTCAAGTCTCTCATTAGGATATTGGCACTGGGGCATTGCAATAGATACCAATGCATATGCCAGTGTGTTGCTGCATACCAATTGAAAGCCAGTTTTCAGGGATTGGTGTCCCTCCGTTTTTAATAGCTTCAATAGTATATGAAACGTAAGTGAATTGAGAAAATGATAAAACAATGAAACTAAGTAACAGTGTCTTTAAGAGAAGATACTTTTTCCTGAATGAACAAAAGAGAGCGTAATTTACAATGGATTACCTGCTCAGAAGCTTCTCTTACAGAGTTATGCCACACTAACATTTTGTCTCCATCAACAGGAGAGGCAGCCCCTGACAAAACTGAACAGGGAAACTAGCAGAAAGATGGGTTTCCCATGCCCTAGGGCCAAGGACTAGAAGGCTGGGCAGAACACTAAGCATAGATGTAGTTTTTGTTTTATTATATAGAGACACAGTCTCATGAGCCCAGGATGACGTCAAACTCGGGGTAGCCAAGAACTGCTTGCAACCATGATCCTCCTGCCTTAGGCTCCTGAATGCTATGATTACAGACATTCACTGTGATGAATGAAAAGGTCAGCTCTGGATGAAAAAAGAAAAGTGAGCAAAAAAAGAAGACTTTTTTATGGCCACCTGTGAACTAGGATTAAGGACATATGCCTAACTTGGCTAAAATCAGTTTTTAAGATTTACTACCCAAAAGGAAATTTTTACTACTTGGATTTTAGCTTGTACCTGAAATGTTATACAGTTAAAATATCTTTCACAAGCATGATTTAGAAATTAAATTATGCCATTTGAACTTCCAAGGTCATACTAAAGATATGTTAATGTCGTACTGCCAATGCGGGAACAGTAAGGAAATACATAAACAGTTTTGGAAAGAAGGGAGTGCACAATAGCAGCGTAGTTTAAAGTAGAAAGCTTTGCGGTTTTAAAAGGTAGGTGTGTGTATTATATACGTGTGTGTGCGCACGCGCACGCGTGTCCAGATTGGCTTGGACCTCACTGCATAGCCCAGAGTGGCCTCAAACTTGTGACAATCCTCCTGCCTTAGCACCCCAAGTGTCAGAGTGTAAGTCTGCACCTCACACCTGGCTTTGTTGTGCTAATCACCTGTCTTAGATACTGCACAGCCGTTAAATGCCAAGTACAGAGCTATTGTGGATAATCCTAGATCATGTGTCTCAGTCTCACCAGGATCCTTGAGGCTGACCCAGGCCATCCAGGAGCTGCAGCAACAGTTGTGAAACTTGTCCATGAAAGCTCAGTTGCTTTTCCTTTGAGAGCTACACTGAAGTCCTGTTGACTCTCCCTTCAAATTCAGTTCCACATTAATCAGGGCTATCTGATTCTCAGATCACAGAAATGTGCTGTGTAGTCACATCTTTAGATGAAAGGAGTTTTCTGTTCAGAGATTAGAGATTAGCCAGCCAGTGGTGGTGTAGGTGGTGGTCATTAAGACAGGCTCTAATTACAGACTATGCAGTCTATTTTTACAAACCTTGGAAATATGAAATAGAATTCTAAAACAACTTTTCATGTAAAATGAATAAAGTAAATAATGTTTGATTTACTAATCAAATAAGTAGATTTTATTTTCTTAGGGAAGGTTTTATTAACTCAAATACAATATGGGCTCAACTAATAACTGTTGACTGAGAGAGTTACTTTTTAAGTTCTTTGGGTTGTCTCCATATTTAGCTCTCTAAATGGATGAATCATTAAAACCATTATTTGGCTGGATATTGATAAGGTAGAGTCAAAGGATCTTGACTTTAAGGCCAGCCTGGGCTATCTAACAAGTTCTAGGCCCACCTGAGTTATACAGTAAGATCCTATCTTTAAACATTAATAATGAGCCAGGGCTGGGAGGCAGATTAGAGGGAATGTACTTACCCAGTATGTGCAAGGCCCTGGATCTGATCCACAGAAGCCCCCCCCCAAATTAATTAATTGATTGTTTTACAGTATTTTAAAATTTACGTGATTTGTGCTTTTCTCTCTATTTCAATCCAAGAGGCCTGAAAGAAGGAAATAACCTTCCCAAATTGCTCTTTTCTCTATATGACAGACCAGAGCCATTCTCTGGAGTGGCACTTCCATCAATCTAGCTAAGACCTCAAATAAAAGCTACCTGGCACACCAAATGTTCCAGGGGTGGATTTCCACCCTGTCTCTGGGTACTACCCGGCCTCTCACTTTGGAGAACACAAAAAAAAGCTGCAGAAGGTTGTTCAGAAAAACAAGAAGAGTGGAACACCAGAAGGCAGTTCACACCTGCCTGCATCCTTCAGTTCACACCTGCCTGCATCCT